TTCTGGGTTGGCTTCCTTGCACATTAGATACGTCTCCCAAATAGACCTTGTCATGAATCTTCTGATTACTACTTATTTCTTGCCACCCTTAATCAGGTTTATAGCATCTTTCTTTTCGAACTTTGAATGGAACAATCAAGATCATCGGCCTACCCATGTCAATTATTATTACGAATTTCGCCTACTCAACTTAAACGCGAGGGGTATTGTGAATAAAACTGATAAACTCGACACTACTATTCTGAATACCGAACCTGATATTGTTGTAATCACCACGTGGCTGTCAAGCAGTATACAAGATAGCGAAATCACGCCTCCTAACTACGCAATCCTGCGCAAAGAGAGGGGATCACGTGGCGGCGGAGTCGTGATTCTTGCTCGAAACGGATTTGCGTGTGAATTGCTGCCCGATTCCCAGGGCATTGAATACTTATGGTGTAAAATCGGCTACGAGAACAGTTGCTGCTTCATTGATGTTGTGTACAGGCCCCCAAACACAGCCCCAGAGTTCTTTCTTAATATGTATGATTATACGCGTAAAAATCTTAATATGAGCAGCAAGATAATAATCGCACGCGACTTTAATTTACCTCCAGTTGATTGGTCCTTTTCTAAACCCCCAAAATTATTTCATGGTGTGGACACTCTTTCAGAACTATATTTTCATTATAACCTAACTCAAATTGTTACCGAAAACACTCGTATTCAAGGCTCGACACAAACAGTGCTTGATTTGGTTTTTGTTAGTGATCATTTTCTGAGCTACGAGTACAGTATCGACGTGTTATATGCTATATCTGACCACGAAATGGTTTTGTGCTCGTTTAAAACTAACTTTGTAATTTTGCTACGCCGCTGGTTGCTACAGTACTGGACTATAGCAAAGCAGACGACGTTGGCGTACTCGATTACTTTGATATGCATTTTGATAACTTCCGATCGCTCTTCTCAAACTTTCTTACCGCTACCGAAACCCTTTGGAACGAACTTAAAGTAGATGCTCAGTTCTGAATTTCAAATTTTATACCAATTAAGACGAAAAGTATTGTCAGGAAAAACCCTTAGATAACGCGAGAAGTTATTCACCTGAAACTTAAAATAAATAGGCTGCGCAAACGCGCAAAGAAAACTAAAATACCTCTTAATAAAAATAAATTGGCAGAGCTGAATACTGAACTTGGCCCAAAATTAGCTCAGCTAAGCATACATTTTTCAATGTAACACTTCAGTCGTTTATTAAATCGTAACCTTGCAAATTCTGGAGTCACGTTAACCCTAAAACTAAGTCACACCTCGACTCACTCTCAAATGATAAAACTAATCTAGCAAAGACGTTTAATGAGTATTTTATTTTTGCATTTACTACGGAGAATGGTAATATACCTTTATTTGTATTTTGTTCAGCTCTGGCCACATTGGGCGATGTAGTAGTTACCGAACAAGCTGTCTTGGAGCTCTTACTTAATCTCGATATTAAAAAGGGTGCTGGCCCTGACAATATACCCAATGAATTTTTGAAAATTTACGCGGAATGAATAGCAAAGTATCTTGTACTCATCGTTAGACACTCCCCCAACACAGGAGAAATTTCTAAAAATTGGGAATCGGCTAAAGTAATCCCGATATATAAATCTGAAACAAAAACTAGTGTACTGATTACAGGCCTAAATCTCTCACCTCAACTTGCTGCAAAGTACTCGAGCACCATTATCCTAAAACCCATTTCAACCTTCGTCGAGCACAATAATATAATAACCCCATTCCAGCGCGGCTTCAGGCGTCGGTTATCTCCTGTTACTCAGCTGACCGAAAGCATTCATGACTTTTCTACTGTAATTAACAACAGGGTTCAGGTTGACGTTATATTCATAGATCCATCGAAAGCTTTGGACAGAATATCCCACACAAAACTACTATTTAAGCTAGAAACTATTTTGAGAGCAGGTAAAATACTTAATTGGATAAGAAACTACCTTTCTGGTCACTATCAGTTTGAAACAATCGATGCTCATTCATCGTCAAAGGAAAAAGTTTCATCTGGTGTTCCACGGGGATCGGTATTGGCGCCTTTCCTGTTTCTGATTGACATAAATGACAGAGTTCAGAACGTTAATGTAAAAATCCGTCTTTTTCCTGACGATTATATACTCTACTCACAAATCAACAACGAACAGGATAAAATCAACCTTAACAATGCACTTTAACAGATTGTACAATAGTGTCACAAATGGCAAATGTTATTAAATTTAGGTAAAACTGTATTTATAACCATAACTAACAAAAAGCAACCTAAATCGTTTTCCTATTACATAAACAACAAACCCCTGGAAAAAGTCACAGAGTACAAGCACCTTGGCTTACACATAAGCCATGACCTTCGTTGTGACTTACACATTGACTCTGTAATTCAAAAAGCGCTAAACAAACTTAATTTTCTAAAAAGAAGCTTAAAAAGTGGATAAATTGAGACGAAATTATTAGCCTACAAAACACTAGTCCGCCCTATGCTATAGTACGTCAACGTCGTCTGGTTCCCATACACGACCTTTGGTGTTAGCAAGTTAGAAAGAATGCAAAGAATGACTGCAATGTTTATATGTGACAAATATAGTTTGCATGATTCCCCCTCAGAGCTATCTAAGCAATTAGAACTGGTGTCACTAGAAAAAAAGGGCGAAAATAGCAAGGTTCAAGTTTCTATATAAATTAGCTAACAAAAGCTTCAACATTTCCACAGAAAATTATCTAACCCCTACTAGTAAACGGCTAACAAGGTATAACCATGGTAAACGTTACGAAGAAAATGGTAAACGTTACGAAGAACTTCCAACCCACAATAATTGCTTTAAATATTCCTTTTTTCCCTATCTGTCAACGAATGGAATCACTTGCCGCAAAACATTGTACTCCACTATAGTGTATAACATTTTCTCATTAACTTGGAAGCGCATCTGTCGACATAGGCTTGCATACCATTATATTCAAGTGCGGATTAAGAAAACAAAAACAAAAAAGCTTTCGGTATGATGTATTACCTTACAACAATACCTAACGGGATTAGTAGTATTGGAAGTAAATAAATAAATAAATACAATTATCTTGTGGCCGCTGCGTGGATCTGACGATTCCCAAACACCACAGTCAGTGTGCGGTTGTCTCGGCTTGCGCAACAGATATTTCGATGCTCCTGGAATTAATTTCCTTGCTTCAGTAAAAGTAACTCTGACAGGAATAAGTGTCAAAAGCTGACACGCTAGTCGCCGCAAGTGAAGTAAGAACGATATGTTGGGAGACTCGGGCTGCTTGATTCTGTGCCATACCCATTAGCCAATTTTTAATGCGAAAGCATTAACTGTCCCATAGAGCGAGCTGACGTCATCATTTTGAAGCGCGCAAACGTCACCTAGTTTCCTCAATCTCAAAGGAGCGAAGTAAAGTTGATGGATTTCGCCTTCGGTTCCATTGGCCGCTGCGCTCGTCAGTTTCCACGACCGCTCACCCCATGGCGCTGCGTGTCCATTAGCGCGCCGTTAATACGGAGCGTCAAGCACGCGCACTGAGCAGCGACGAAAAGTACGCAGCAGACAAAAAAGGGAAAGGACGAGCGGTTTGCATGCTTTCGCACTCACAACTCATAAAACGTGCTTAAATGTACATCGAGCTTTTTTTTTTTTTTTTTTTTTTTTTTAGACATTTTTGCTGAAAGCCACTTCAATTTCGCTTTGCTTTCTTTTCACGTAGGATTTTCGGTATTTCGGATTGATTGCCGACGGCACTCTCAGTGAAGTTGTCTCTAGTGCGCCGCCAGAAATCTCTTCATTCATGTCTCTCAGTAACTCATGCTCGGAGACAGCACTTGGGCATGAACTTGAGCTTAATTCACAAGCACGGGACACAGAAGGTGTCTCACACAGACGTGCGACGCAATTATGGTACACCATGTCGGTATCCCTCACTGCTATAATGCATTGGAGGGAAGGGGCGGGGCTGAGCTCAGCAGATCCATGTTCAGGTCCTTCGCAGAGCGAAAACGTTCATTTCAATATATCTTCTTTTTATGGCGACCATCGTAGTCAGCGCAGGACACTGGACTAGAAATGGAAAAGTTGGCCGGTGATCAAACCGGACAGGGTCAACTGCGACTGTAAAAGGCTGGAGCAGGAAACGTCAATGCCAGCTGCGTTGCTGTGACAGCAGGACACCTCTGGTCCTTTTAAAGGACCTTGTTTGAGTGGTTTTTAACAGTGGTGACGATCGAGTTGGAAAATTCCTCCTTAGGATAAGAACACGACTATAACCTCAAGAACAAAAGTAAAAAAGAAGTCGTGCTCCACGTGGAGCATTACTAATTTCCCTCTTCATTTTAATTGTTAAGAGATATGTAGGTGAACTTTAGATAAGATATGTGTTATCTTATCAAGACGTACACGTTCTAAACACCAAAAGCGTCGCTTTCGGTGTTTGGACAGATATGCTGCAGCTATGGCTTTGTTGATCGCTTTAACCAATATTTGCCATCCTTCGTTTCTTTACGACTGCTGCTACAAACGCGTTCGCCACGTGTCAGTTAGTTTGCTGCAAACTTTCGAGACGAATGATTATTCCCTTCATTACACCTCCTGGACCCCAACCGTTAAACTCGAAATTTGTTTCACTTATACAACCAAGAAAAGAAACATTTTTAAGAAAAATAAGTTTTCCGTAATATTCCATTTTTATTTCTCAGACGACCTTCAGCACCCCCCCCCCCCCCCCCCCGCAAAAAAAAAAAAAAAAAAAAATAATAATAACAATAATTACAAAAATTATTCCCGATAGACTTTGGTAACCATGTCACGTGTTGGGACTTACGCGATCTATAAATTAGGCTATGAGAATGCTCAGAAGACCGGCTAGCAGGTGTGCCTTCTTTCCGTTCCCGATGCCTTCATGCTTGCTCGTAGCCCGCATGCTATTTAGGCGTCGCACTGACGCGTCGTGTGCCCCGTTTTGTGACGCAGCCCCGGGAGCATCATCGTGGACTACTTCGTGCTGTTCCACCAGAGGCGCGAGCCCGTAGTGCCCACGTCACTCATCGAGGCGTTCAACTCCCACCTCGGCGTCAACGGCTCGATCGGGGAATTCACGCTCGACCCGACCTACACGCAGTTCGAAGGTGAGCTGGTGTCCGTCCAGGTTGCACCATTTTATTATTACTAATAATAAAAATATAATAATAATACTTTTATTTTGAACTCAAAATACACGAGTGTTAGCGGGTCCGTCAAAGCCTGCAGTGCCTTGTGGGCGGGAATTCGGGAAGTCGCCGAAGCGAGGAAGCAAAGTAGGAACTTCGAGAAGCCAACCCCCCCCCCCCCCCCAACACACACACACGCACACACAACATACATTCAATACTGCATTTAATAATAATAATGATGATAATCCGCGGTCGGATCACTGACAGGACAAAAAACATGTTCGTGATATAGATGGAATTATTTAATGACGGCAGGGCCAGGCGAGCGGTGGTCGCACCCAATACATGCCTTGACGTGCTCCGTACCTATTTGGCAATAAGAGTATTACACGATAATATCCAGGAAGAAATATGAATGTATTTGGAGAAACTAGGGATCTTAAAAGCGACACAGGCTACTTCCTAACTATACTCTGTTGCAGGTTAAGAAGAGCAGGACAAGCCCCTCCCACAAAGCCCTCCACTCTTTCCACTTTAGCCGAGGGAACGCTGGAGAGCAGGAAAACACCAATCATGGCATGCGAGAGCTTTGGGAGGGGGGCTTGCCCTGCTTTTCTTAACATGCAACAGACTATAGGGCAGAAAAGAGAGAGCGTGATAAGGAGAAATGGAAAAGAAAAGAAATTTAAACTACGGGTATTACCTTGCAAGATTCTTAGTCATTGTTATTTTATCGTTCTCTGTGTGATTGCCCTGGCAGTCGCTGGAAAGATACGAACGTTAAGGCTATCAGAATCGCCCCTTTTTTTTTTAGCGTGGTACCGCCGCGGTGAGTTCCTCACCGAAACCCAAACATTCTGAGTCGAATACAGCGCTCCATCCTTGACGTCTGTGGTCTTAACGGCAAATAAACCACACCGCATCCAACGGGAGAGCCGCCCGAAAAAAAGCTAAGTGAGCCGGCCGGCCGACATCCTTTCGAGGATGTCGGCCGGCTCGTAAAATCACATTGGCGTAATACCATAAAGAAAGAAGGCCGCTCCGGCAAACAATATTACGGCTTTTCTTTATGTCCCAGAACGCCGCGTCAACGAGGCTCCTCGTTGGGCCACGACGCTGGGTGTTTCGAAAGCTTCTTTCCTTTTCTCGATAAGCGCGATGTCCTCACCGAAGCCTTCGTGGAGTGCTAAGTCCGAGAAAGTGCGACTCATGCGTTGCCGCATTTTTATACGCTGCCAACGAGGGACCTCGCTGCTTTCGAAAGCGGTAACTGACGGCGTGACGGGAGCATGGTTGCTGCAACGGTCTGCGAACAAACTTATTGCTCACGCCTCTTTCCCTCCCGCACTGCGACTCATGAAACCGAATCAGGCGTGCCTTTTATGCCTCCACAGTAACGTCTTCGACGATTCGTCTGCGCCGTATCTGTTGGCCAGCCTCGGTCTTCTTCGCTCTGACTGGTCCACGTTTTATTGCCTCCTTTCACTTCTTCGGCCATCTTCTTCGGAGGCATCATATCTCTTGCGCTTGAGTCGTCTCTGTCTCAATGCGATTTATTCCGGCGGTAACCGGAGTGCGTTCGTGGTGTTTGGAACCCAACGCTGACAGACTCTGGTGTGCCGATCTACGGGCGGAGCAACGGCTCGTTTCTGTGGAGAGCGATGAGAAACGCACGAGGCTATACTATCCGAGCACATATTAGGTTATAGAAAGACAAGATAGATCGACCATGGCCGGTGAAAGCGTCGTCGGGTACCCATAGTGATCGAAGGCTGCAGGAAGCAACTAAAGGGGAAGCCGGCATGCGCTCAACAAAACACAGTACCCTTGTGGCGACAGTTTTCTATGCGAAATACGTTCATATTATAACGCTTCTCTGTATATAGTTTAATCTAATATATCAGAAGCGTGTGCCGTCAGTTCGCCATTTTGTTGTGACTTATTATTTCCCGAGAACGCGGAGGAAAATGCTGATCAAAGGCAGTGCTTAGCAGACGAGCTTGCATTCGTAAACATTATGCCGGCCAAATTAACATGACACTCCTTCTCTTTTGCTCTATTATCTCTATCATTATATTAATTATTTTTAATACAACTTAAGTTTTCTAGTTTTTTACTTTTTTTGAAAGGACATTAACGGAACGTATATCACTATATCAATACCAATAGCTAAAATTAGCAGTTGTTTTTAAAGACGATGTTCTGTCATGGAAGGACAATTATGACATCAATGAAGCACCGTAATTGGACTGTTGACACCGGCAATATTCTTATATATTTCAAAATTCTTCATTTAGAGCAAGTTAACAATGAACGAAACAAGACTGCTTCGAGAATTCCTGTCATTATCTCGCTCGCCGGTGGAAGAATTACGACAAAAGTTGCTTTATTTTGAGAGAGGAAGCGAGAGAGGAAGTATTTTACGTGTGATGAAACAACCACACCTGAAAGCTCAATTGTTCGAGCAACGAGAAACGAAACATTGTTTAATCGTCAGCTCAAGGATCCTCTTACGTGATATAAGCATCTCCCACCGTTAGCGAGCATCTTCACCAGAACAATGTATTCTGTAATCCCTGGCTCCGCCGTAGCCACAAAGATGGCGGCCAGGCTGTCTTGAAAAGGCACGCGGGACAACAGAAACAAGACGCACGCGCTCTCTTCCAAAGGAGTCCATTACCGCTGACATCCGAGCAGGGCATCTAGCGCAGCATCCGTCCTTCACCTAAGAGCTCGATCGATGGCGAGCCCTCTCCAAGGCAGACGCCTTAAGACAACGCAAGGGGAAGCACAAACACACACGGGGCAAGTTCACTTGGACCCGACCCACATCTTTCCCTCGACGAAGGCAACACCCGCAGGGGCACCGGGTATCCAGGGGGGCTCCGACGCTAAGGCAGTCGCCGTGCGCAGAGCTTCGTCGGCTTCCGGAGCGGGCAAGCCGAGTGCCGGCGGGGCGATCCCTCTGGGAGATGCTCGGGAAGTCCGATAGAGCGGGCCGTTTTGGGCAACGCGTTGCCTTCCCCCCTCTTCCCGCCATCGGCCTCATTATCGCCGACCACGGATGCTGGCCACGTACAAAGTCCCCAGTCCGTAAGCAGCCGCTCGCAGAGTCCGTGCCTCTGAAGAGACGGCGGACCGGCGCAAGGGCTAATGCGATTCCGTGCCCGCGCGTTTATTACCGGCACAGAAAACGCGGACACACAGAGATCTCCCTCCGCTCCCTCTCGAGCTCACGAGGGTGCACCTCGATAGAGTTGCGCCGGCATCGTGTCCGCTCAGGAGGCTTCGTTTTGGGGGAACAAAAGGGGTTATTTGGCTCACGTAATTCGGTTCAGTTAACTTTTCTTGTGAGATACTGTCTGCGGGCATGATTGCCGGCTTTTGGACTGGTTGATTGAAGAAAGTTATTCGTTCTCTGCAAACAGAGACAAGGCGACGTATCGTGGGTGCGCTCTGTATGAAGTATCCCCCCAATACTCACTGATACTTTTCTTGTTTTCTCAGCTGGAAGTGAGCACCCCGCCGGGTAAGAACACCAATCGAGTTTTTGCTGTATTCACTTCATGGCATCAAACTCATCGTTAAAAGAAAAACTGCGTTTGGTTGGTTTCTTCAAAATGAGAATGTTCCTTTTATGAAGACGCTTTAAAGTAGGCCAACTTTTCAACAACCTTGCGGCAACAGCCAGCTTTTTACATGTACACTAACAGCTCCATGTTATTACCGTATGTGTAAAGGGTAGCACAGACACTTCACTGGTACAGTGTGACCCAAACTTAAGGCCACCAAGGTAATTACTCAACATCACAGAGGAGTCGCCGGCAACGTCGACAATCGGTCAGTTGCCAAACCGCCTGGACTAACCTCCTATGCTCGGGCACATTGACTCGGCAGTTGGAAAGTGACCGGATACTTGGGGCGGTACTCAGGATCCCGGCTTGACTCATTCACTCCAATTGGAAACGATCTGTACGCATTCACTGTCGAGAGAGGCACGCTTATATATGACGGCCCAGAGCTGCCATTTCCAAGCCTCGGTCTTGAATGGCCGGCGCCTGAATGTCGTTGGCATCCACATCAACGCGAAGGCAGCCTTCAGCCATCCTTGGCCGACGCGTTTTATGGGAGGGATTCTGCTCCGCCTTTCATCGCGCCTCAATGTCGGGAATGTCTTTCCCTTTATTAATCCCCGTGCTCGAGACAGCTCGCGTGGACGTCCGAGGGGCGCCTGACAGCGGGACGCGCCATTGTCTCCGTGAGGGCCGTCCTTTGTGTTATACAGGATTCCTGCGGCGAGAAGTTGCTGCAGCAGATTTAGTTATTGTCGTAACAGCGCCAGTGAAGCTTTCTTCTTTTCTGTCTCGTCGTTCCCGCCGGTTCGCTCGTGGATGGCGGCGACTGGCTGTCCGGATGACTGATACCGAATTCGTCTACAAAAAGAGCGCGAAAACAAAAGAAGATGCATAATTTTCTAACAAAACATGCCAGTCAGCAATAAATGTCTCCATAAAAATGACAGCTCAGGCGGCATTCACATCGGGGAGAAATCCCGGAGATATCTCCGCGGAGCGCGCACCACGTGACGAAAACGTCACGCTTTGGCGACGCGGCGCGGTGACGGAGGGAATGCTCGGACGGCCGCCAAACAGGGACATACAGTCCCTGTTTGGCTGCGAATGAGATTGCTTTTAAGGATAATGTGTCGTTAAAAGCTTTATTGCTAAATGCTCTGCTCCGGTGCAAGAGCAGAAACTACTAAAATCGGCTGTTCACGTTAACATCCCTCCCGCCGTCACCTTGTCCGTGCGAACGACGAAGATGAGGAAAGGCTCGCGCTCGCAATAACGTCACGCACATTCCTATGCGGATTTCTCCCCCGCGTGAATATCGCTTGAAGAGTCGAAGAAAACGCGATAAAAACACAAACAATTAAAAATACGCAAGAAAAAAACATTACTTCCGGAGAAAGGGTGCAGAGCGAGGTGTTAATTCAATGTATCATCATAATGCGTGAAATATAGCGAGAGCTTGTACCAGCAGAAGTATGGTAGGGTGCCGCGAGAAAGCAGTATAGCGTACGAAGCAGTGAAAAAACAAAAGCAGTTTCGTAATAGAGTTACCGAAGGGGGTTGCTTGATTGCGAGCGATCGAAAACAGAGCCCCACAAGCGACCCCTTGACGAGGAGCTCACCACGTTTTCTGCGGCCGTCCTGCACATATATACTACTCTCCTCGCTGTTATTAGTTTACGTGGGGCTCGCAGCATTCCAGCGGAGAGAGAGCACCAAACTTGTTCTTTTCTTTTAATACATCGCCACATCTTTCACTCCTTCCTTCCTGCGGCAGGAGTGATTGATAATCAGTGCTTCATCTTCCTGCCAGGTGTCGAAGTATCGATCTTCTTGGTTGGAAGCGACTAGGAAGCGATCTCTACGCCATTCTTTTTTGTGTCGAACTCTTTTTATTTTCATTTAAGCGCCGCCAAACTTACTAAAACGGGCCTGGTGGTTCGTCTCTTTGACGTATACCGCAAACTAATTTTCTCGCTGAAACTATTTCTATATCTATAGGATCGAAAAATTTGATTTTAATATCCCCTTATCTCCGTGTGCTTTGCGACGGTTCTTGCGGAGTATTACGTAAGAGCGAACACAATAAGGCGCACTCATGTGTGATGACAAACTGCGTTTGGATAAGAATGACAACAAAATGTCAGTCTCATTTTGCCTCCAATCTCTAGAAACGAGGGCAAACTGGGAGCCAATCGTTTATACCACATCGTTCAGTGTTGCGGAGGGTGCAATTTTTGGAGTTCATTGGTTTATAGTTGAAACAGCGAAAGTACGCTGATCCTCAATATAAAACGATAATAAGGCTACACAACAAGCCTCGTATACTCGTAAACTTAGAGGAACCGAGAAACAATTTCCCTTCGTAGTTTCTAGCGAATAATTAGTGCCCATAATTTTTTTCTTCGCGCTAGCTGCTAGGCTGTAGGATAGAAGAGTACTAGTCGCTACACCGCAGGCTGTGTGCGCTTCACGCTTTAACGTCCTTACGATGAACCACAGCGAACGTCACAAACCATCGTAGCCAATCCAGCGTGGTTAATGTATCACGCGCGGCTCACCTGTCGCTACACATTTGTCGAAGGTCCACTGACAGGCACGCAGCATTTCAGTGGCTCGTGGCTTCCTATATGGTTCATCCTAAATTAAGATGAAACAGAGTACAACAGTCGCATTTCACTGGCTAAATTTCTCATATACAGCGGGAACCAATGGCGCCATGCTATGGTAGACCTGACCTCACAATGTTTAAATACCTAACCTCCATTTTTTTTATTTTTTTTTTTTACCTTTTTGAATAAAATATTGCATTTCTGTGGGGGTTTGTTTTGTTTTTAGTCGTGAAAATTGCTGCACTATAGTAGTGAATGTGGCGTTGTGTTCTGCGGTGACACTGCTAAGTTGCTGCTGAAAGCGGTTCCGCTCCTCACATATTTATGTATAGGGACATACGAATCTACCATTACACGATATCGGGTTTCTCGGGAAACACCCAAAGCGTACAAACTCTACACTACTTTGGATTAAGAAAAGCTGAACGAGACTTTTGTCAGATTGCGGGAAGACCTCTGAACTCATGGCAAGAACAAGAGGTCACGTGTTCTGGAGACTATTTGGGCTGCCGATGTTCATCCCAATCATCGCGTAGATTAGCGGTGCTCATAGTGTGTGCTCAGCACCGGGCAATGCTAAAAGTTTAATGAATTCCGCAGCCACAGTGATTGGTCGCAATCCCAAATACTCGTCGACGCACTGATTGTGCCGAAGCGCAAAACCAAACGATGAAGAAATGTTCGTGTCCAGTTAGTGAACTGGATTTGTTCGGCGTGAGTGCGACGTCAAATTGAACACGTGGGTTAACAGCCGTGCAGAACTTGCGAAATGTTCACAAGTGTTGCACGGCGAAAATAACGTTTCCTGCAGCCGACTCCAGCCGTTACCTGGTTGAGTAGAGGATTCCAAACGTACATCCGAGACATAATCCGTCTTACACACTCGGCAAAAAAAAACAACAAAAAAAAACGGTTATGTTATTTGATTTTTTTAGCAGATATCGCCTCCGTATTAAACTGTTTCCAGGAACGAACGCGACCTCTTCGAAATCCTGAACGCTAAAAAGCTTTTAAAACCGACCAAATGTCACTGAAAACGAAATGTCCAAAAATCTTCTTACGTTCTCGCGTTGGTTCGGACAGCGCTTAAGCCGGCCGAGAAAATCCGGCCACCGAAATCAGAGTTACCATCCGGTAGGAACCTGGAAAGAAAACTTCGCGTGAAGCTTATTCGAAGATGTATTCGAAGAATTTATTCGTGGAATCTATTGGAAAAACTTGTTCAAAGAACTGAATCGCTGTAGCAATACATAAGGTCATTGATTTCTACCCCCCACCCTCCCCCCCCCCCCCCCCCCCACACACACACACACTCCTAGGCTGAGTCCCTCTTAATGAAGTACAGAAACCTGCCCCGAAATTTATAATAAGCCCCCTCTCCCCCAGATTGACAGTCCTGGATAAACCCCTGCGCGACGCTACTGCTTCTCTAGGGGGGCAGCGTCCAGCAAGCGAGTCATCCCGTCGTAATTTCGCGACTTGACGTCTCTTCCAGTTGTTGGCGTGGTGAGGCCCAAGCCGCTGGCTTCCTCGTCCGCAGAGCCCCCGATTCCCCAGTGGGCCATTGCCGTGATCGTCATCGCTACAGCGTCGCTCATCTTCATCGTGCTCTTCGGGGCCGTTACGGTAAGTGCGGGGGGCTCCCACGCGGACCTGGCATCACCCCAGGGGAATGTCCGTCGACCCTTAGGTCGGCTCTTTGACCGGGGCTGTAAGACAAACAAGGCGCTTGCCGACACGAGGACAACAAAAGATGAAGAAAGCCTCTGGGGAGAGATTACCTGAAGCTTGGTTTGTCCTTACCCTGAAAGGGTTGGTGTAAGTTAGAGACACCGTGGCGCCAATTTTGGAGAGGCCAGCAGTGTAAACTATGTTCCACTGTAGCGCGAACTCCTCAGAATGCGAAGAGCAGCTCCGAAAGCGCGAGGTCACGGCGTTCGTACTTCGTAGCCTTTCCGTTCACGTCTTATTGTCAGCTTACCGTGATCTTGTACTCTTAGTCTGCATGTATGCGATTCTGTACCTTCGTCCAGCCTTTGGTCGGGTTTTGACTTATAATGACACAAGGTGTAATGCACCTTAGAGTAACATTAGACGTACAGTCAAGCTGGCGAGATATATAAGTAAGCGATGACGTTGTCTTGGGGAAATGGTTCGACCTATTAAAGAAGCACTAAAGTGGAGTTTGAGATCGTCTTTTTCTGGCGCAAGTTCAACCTAAGCTTCCCAAAACACCAAAATATTATTGCGAAATGCCCCTTTTCTTGAGATAGATCTCAGAAAAAGGGAGGCATGTTGAAACGCTAAGCAACATTTTAACAGAAAAAGAAGGCCACTCATGGAAGTGTTTTTGTTTTTGTTTTCAGAGTACTTAGGGCGTATAGTTTGCGTCGTAAGATATATATATATATATATATATATATATATATATAATAAAATTCATTTTAGCGTCCTTTGAACGTGTATATATATATATATATATATATATAATAAAATTCATTTTAGCGTCCTTTGAACGGTACGGACAACTCGAAGCATTAACCATTCTGCGAAAAAAAGAGCGAAGAATGTCAATGCTAAACCGGCAATAGCTTGAGGCGACAGCCAATCTGTCGCAAAAGAAGAGCGAAGGATGCCGTCGTAATGGTCGCATTCTGTACGCGTGTTCCAGCATTTTTTCGTAACATTAAGTGGGGAATAATCAGGAAGAGAGGAGGACCGAGTCGTCAGCCACGCGTTATTGCCCTCGTCCTCTAGTTCTTAAAACGTCGCTTGCACCACGCCCTACAGGCGTGGCTTAGTGCACTCACACTTCTTGCTTTCTAATCGCTTATTCGGCCTTGAAAAATGGTCGGAAGCAGTTTTCTCTTTTATGTCATTGTTTTGGAAACGGTTTCCTAATAAAATAGATTGCAGCACAGCCTGAAGGTAAAACTAGGAACTGTCGAACTTAACGAACGTCGTTTGCGTTTCGCATCCTTTGGACGCCCTTGGCTTCCGCGAGACGATGGAAATGACGGGACACAACAGCCGCACTCCGTCGTCAGTGGGACTCTTGAGGACTCTCCTCCAGAACAGACGCCTTCGGGCGAGTCCCAAGAAACAATGAAAGACTCGGCGTGCAATCTCCTCTCTCGAGTCCCACGGGCGTCTCAAGGACCAGAAAAGGAAGGCAATCTAAACGCTCGTCTTCCGTTTCCGCTAACTTCCGGGAGGAACTCGTCAAGTCCGCTCCGATGCTCCGGCTCCTTTAAGACTCGCTTCCGGACTTGGCCAGCGGATCCCGCGACGAGGACGAGAACCGCCTCGAGTGTTTGCGCTGCCGCTGTCGGACTTCGAAAGGAACGCCATTTTCGTGGGTGGGTTGGGGACGCGAAACCCGAACCCCACTTACGTGGCCCCTGGCGCTAGTCGTCGTTGGTACTCCCTGTGCGTGCGATTCGGGCACACCAAGGAAATTTGCTGAGCGGCTTGAACCGCGGAGGTGTTAAGAGGTTAAAGGATCCATGAAACGATGTTTCTACTTGCGCTAAATAGGACTTAGAATCATCCCCTAACGTTAATAACTGAATAAACTTGCGTTCGTATTTCCTTCTAAACAATAGCAGTCGCAAAAAAAAAATTACACCATCTTCCCGAGGGGAACCATGGGGTGATGCGGAGCATCGTTCCATCACACTTCATCGGAAGAACGGAGTGAAGTGGAGTCAACAGCGGTGAACTGAACGCGCGCAGAAATTGGTTTGCTCTTTATGTTTATACAGCCTTGATGGAGATGCGCCTCAACGGGTAATCGGTCTCTTAGCTGTAGATGAGAAATTTAGCCAGTGCAGTACAACCGCTAACCTGGGATTCTCAACGTGCATCACGCAGTAGTCATCACACGAACGTGTGCCGGTACGAAACTCATCCAGATCGAAACGGGCGGGGGTAGCGGGGACTCGAACCCGGGAGGTTCCCAGCGCAAGCTTTCGCTCCACGCTCCGAGCTGAGACGCGTTAGCCCACTCGGCCACTTCCTCCCCTTGAACGCGCGCAGCGCGCTACCGCTGCTTATATTCAAACTTGAAGGAGAGGAAACTAGAGGAGGAGAGTTGCGCCTGCGCGCGCGGTGTGAGTAGAAGCGAACGCAGCTGTTGAAGAGAGAGAGAACGCACGCGCAGCTGTTGGAGAGAGGGACGCAGCTGGTAGCTGCGTGCACTTCGCGCAGCTGTTGGAGAGAGAGAGAACGCACGCGCAGCGAGGAGAGTTGCGCATGCGTAGTGTGAGTGCGGACTACGACGCCGCGGGACATAGCCCAAGCAAGAGATGCTCCGCATCTAAAAAAATTCTAGAAATATAGGCATCGTTTATTCCCTCAACTCGAAGCCAGAACAAGCGGCCACGTGGCCTGATGCCTACCCTATGCCGCTAACGTTAATCATAGCCACGCCGCTTGGGTTGGGAAAAATGAAAACGCGTGCTGAGCGGAGTGCTCACGCAGTTCTCGTGTCCAATTCATAGCCTCAGCTTGACTGTCGTCAGGCGGGTGATCTCGAGCCCACAATTACGTCATCAGGGTTTCCGAAGGCAAGACTGAAAGAAATAGTTCCCTTTTATTCTCGCACTTTCACCGCGCCAAAGAAGCTTCTGAATCAGTGGCGGTCTGTGCGAGTATACGTGGGTCAAACTAGGACCAGTACGCCTCTGCAAAGTCATGACATTTCAACCCGATATCGTTTAAGGGCCCCTTTAAATTGTTCGAACTGTAACACGTCGTAAAAACAAAACAAAACAAAAACATTCATATATCAAACAACTAAAAAAATCGATAGCTAAGATTTGTGAGGCTGTCGTCGCCCTAATCGGGTGAGTATGTAGTATGTATCTAGTAGCTCAGCGTAGTTATTTGTCGTCTCTTAGGTTAGCCTAACACACTTGTTGCTATGGCTATGTTCCAAATCTTACCCGAGTAACCTGTCTCCTACGTCAGCGGGTAATACCACGTGACATCGCGAGTAAACGATCCGCGACTTGATTTTGGAAATGCCGGGATAATCACCTGGATACTACGCGGATTGGCTTCGTCTTGGGCTGCGGCAAAATGAAAACACAGATGCGATGGCAGAAAATACCAGAAGAACCTTTTGATTATGGAGAAAGCGTTCGAAGAGACGACAATATTAATGACTGCGCGGTGTTTTCTGAAGTGACTCCACGAGCTCCTTTGGCTCACTTTCCTTTTGGACTGTATATTGAGATCAAAATTATTTACTCCTTTCAGTTAAACATCAAACATTTGTTTTATTAATCAGCGCGATCGCTGCAACTCTAGTCCAAGTGCCCTAAACGCTTATGTTCCAAGCATCGTAATTTTCACCGATTACGTTTTGCAGAAATTGCTTCCACACGGTGTAGCGCTACAGCGCAGGGGGCTTTTCCAACAGCTATATATAACTTACGTTCGCTTTGACGCGAATATGATTACAAAATCACAAAGAAAACTTCCAAGGCGCTATAGGCAATTTCTTGGGGAGGGAGATGGGGAGGGGTTGTTGATTCATCATATACATGAAATATTCGAAGCCTTCACTGCTTTACAAGCGTTATTCTCTCATTACACACACACTGATAATGTGGAACGACTTCCACATTATCTACTGTGTTCGAGCATTTTCAGCCTTGAACGTGAGATTACGGAATTCCCTCTAACGCCGAAGACGAAGATGCGGAGAAGCTCCTGTTTACGCTCGCACTTTGATAATAACGTCAGGTATACTTTCCCGGGGAAGGTGCACGGCCTGTATCTGGTGCTGTCAATTTCTGCGTTGAAAACAGCCAATCACAATACCCACACATAAGTGGCTGCACCTCACTCTTTGTTATTTCGAACGTCCGCCACCAAAGCCAACGGAGCAAGCGAGCTTTAACGGCCGGCGCAGAAAGCAGACGACGAACAGATCACGTGACGTATTTACTCGACTTGATCCGATGTTACCCCCCGATCGAGGAGGGTAGCGTGAGTAATTACTCCGGACTAAACAACCGGCTTCTGGAACGCGAGTTCTAACGTAAGCAAGTAAGCACGAGTAAGTTTTGAAACGCCAGATTACGAAACCTTTACTCCGGAATCGGATCGAGTAAGTTTTCGAACACAGCCTACGACAATTGCTGGATCGCGCTTCACCACTCCGCGAGTGCGGCCACCGGATGGCCATTTTGCATGTAGCTAAAGCGACTTCTTGAAGCGTTGCAGAGGCTGGGCGGAAGCGTGCTGAAGACATGTTTTCTACTCGTTCGTCGTCATTCACCGCAGAAGTTTTTTTTAAAACCTTGAGCACGGTGATCATTTCTTTTGAGAACACGCAGAAAGTTCAACGAAAAAGCAGTACCGCAGGAAAAGAGGTACAAATCGTTGAACGCAAGTCTTGCCAGTTTAGCGGCGTGATCAAAGCTTCCTTGGCACGCCGAAATGCTGCGTCTCTGTGCCTTCGCACGCTTGAATACCGATTAAGAATCGACGCCGGGGCAAGGTTTTCAAGGTCTGTCGCGCGTAGATGTCTGCATAATTTATCAGCCACGGAGTTCTGGATCGTCCAGCTGTTCCGGCGAGTTGCTAACAATAAAGTTCCCCGTGGAAATCGCGAAGACGACTTTAAGGGACCAGATCACATCGCCACTTATTTGAACATTTGAACCAGGGGCGTTGGAAGTGTTTTGAAGTTGGGGAAAAGAGATGAGGGGGGAGGGGTGTATAGATATAAAGATTTTCGTTGTATTGAATTGATTGTCATACGCGTCTCGTAAACAAAACAATCCCCCCTCTCTCTTCCGTCGCCACTGGATAATGTACCGCTTCTGTACCGCAAGTGCCGCAAGTTACAAATACATCGATCAGACTAATGTAAAACGCTGCACCAGAGGCACATGCGTCTTTACGCAGATTGCAGTCGCAAAACACATCCACACGGCGTCGATTCTTGATCGGTATCCAAGCATGTAAAAGCACAGAAACGCAACACTTCGGCATGCCAAGGAAGCTTTGATCACGCCGCTAGACCGGCGAGACTTGCATTCTACGAGTTGTGCCCTTTTCCTGCGCGGTGCTGCGCATTCGTAAAACTTCCGACGTGTTCTCAAAGGCAGATATGACCGTTTAGGGTTTAAAAAAACAAAACTCTTCGGCGAATGGCGACGAACGAGTAGAAAACGTGTCTTCAGCATGCTGCCGCCCCGCTTCTGCAACGATCCAAAAGTCCGAATTCGCTGCATGCAAGATGGCCGTCTGGTGGTCGCACTGGCGCTGCAGCGACCAAGTAGGGATGCGCGATCCTGCAAATTTCATAAAGATCAATGGCCTAGCAGTAGAGTCGCTATTTAGAAGGGTTTTTGTTAGGCGAGTCGCGATGCGTCGATGATGGTTGCAGGTGGTCCCTGAGACCGTCTCTAATATATATATATATATATATATATATATATATATTTATATATATATATATATATATATATATATATATATATATATATATATATATATATATATATATATATATATATATATATATATATATATATATATATATCTCACTGGAACTTTCATCATCATACGTAATCTCCAAAAAAAAAATACCGGCTCCGCCAAATATTTTTTCTCTCGGTGGTTTCATAAACTTTGATTTATTCGATCAAGTACGGTTCGTTCAACTGCATACTTTCCTACATATACTATATTTCTACAAAAGCTTTCAAAAATTCCTAAAAATATGTTGTTTCAGATAATAAAGAAACTCTTTGCGGGAACAAACTACCAGTTTTCGCGGACACCAGTTATTGCAAAAACCCTACTAACAAAATAATTAACTAAAATTGACTGATTAGTTCTTAATTAGTGAAAATAAACATATGATTCCACTGAGAAACTTGCTAAGCGTCACTGAAAACCAATAGATCAACTGTTCTTAAAAAGATATAAAGCAGGGGCAGAATTTTAGACGTTCCGAAAAAAACTCTCTGGTTTCGGTTTCTTATCGGAGTGTTTCTCTGCGCCCACGGTACTGCTCCCCGTTGGCCGAGACGCGCAACACACGTGCACCATAATTCCCTCCATCCTACGAGGGAGGCGAGGCGGTTGCTTCGCGTTTTACTCTATTTTATGTTCTTTTTTCTCTACTTTTCTACTTTCGTGTCGCTTTTCAACGCTTCGTTTTGTGCTCCGGTACATTTCTCAGCATGGCTGTCACTTCCCATCCGCAAAACTCGGCAGCAAGCTACTTAGGACCGTTTTTGTTCTTCAGAAGCAAACCGCTCTACCTGCCAATTTTTTGTGTGTGTTTTTGTTTTGTTTTTTTCTTTTCCCCGTAGCGCTGAACGTACCCCGTTTTACTACAAGCTGTTCGCAACTTCGCTCCTCTTCGTGTCGGCAGGCTTTCCCTCACTAACATTGTATCGGAGGAAAAGACCGCTTGACAGGCGTTGCTCTTTATTAGGGACTTAGATTGTCAATATTGTAACTGAAACTCTGTCAAACTGTAAACGTCGTATAGGATCGTATCTCGGAACGGCGCACTCATTTTACATCCCGTCCCGTAATCCTTAAGGTTCCAACCGTTACGCAACAGCAACCAAATTTATACGCCTAGGTAAGGTTGTCGGCCGCGGCAAACGTCAGACACCAAGGCGTGAGGGTACGTGAAAAGTAGCGGACTAACATAGAACTAAAAGTCGCTGAATAACTTTTAAAAAAACCGTCCTTTGGTTACTCCGTAATCAGAGTAACGAGTTACTCTTTGTTGCGAGCACGTGACCCACACACGCTGCGGCAACTTACCTCTTCGGGTGCGGAGTTTTCATCGCTCCTGTTCGTCTTATGCCTCTGTCACGCGGAAAAGCTGATGTCAGTTTCATCGAACGACATTTGTGTGATCGACGAATCGGCTCGCGATCTGTCGCGCGAGGAATGCGCCGCACCCGGAGTGCCACGCGCTGATTGGCCGATCGCTTGAAACGTCATTAGATTGTAACTGACATTAAATTGCCAGTATGACAGGGGTCAGGCACGTAGCCAGGGGGGAGGCCCATGGGCCCCCCTCCCCCCCCCCCCCCCCTTCCCCCCCGAAATCTTCCATTTTGCTGGAACCTCCCTCCTTTCTCCCTTCCCCTCATAAAGCATTTTGTCATGGCGCGCGCCCCCCCCCCCCCCCCCCCCCCCCCCCCGCCGAAACAAAATCCTGGCTACATGCCTGACAGGGATATAACACTCCCATTTTTAATCTCATTTTCATATAATGACGTTTGAAGAATATCAGCGCGCGCTACTTGTGGCGGAGCACGTTCCACGCGGGTCGTTCGTCGTCCCAATGACGATCTGATTCGTCCATCATACAGATGTGTCATTTGGCGTGAATGACATTAAATTACCCGTCCGACAGAGGTATTAAACTACACTTTGTTTTTAATTGTAATTTAACCGAAAGACAGTTTAATAGCGGCCGTGTTTGAGTAATCAGGAGATGTGCTTGTGATCCTGGCTCTGAGCGTCCTTTGCAGATTCTGAGATGTCATTTGACTACATGTCCTCTGGCATTCTAATACGGCTGCGGGTGGTATAGAGTTTGGGTATATCGGGCACCTGACGGCTTGAATTGGTCGAAGTAAACCATGGAAGATTTCAGTTTTCCCATGTCTAACAACTACTCTGGCCTATTTTGACGTATTAGGTGGGAACGCAGCCTACGCTATGACCCGATAGAGACAATCGGACATCGCCAAAAATGCGTCGACCGTCACGGTGCTCCTTTTCTTTGTGAGTTTTCAATCACTGTCTAAACCAATCAGGCAGAGGAAAAAAAACAGAATCACGCCACATTTACTGTGCGTAATTGGTTGACCCGGTGATTGAAACCCACAAAGACGACGAGCGCCCTAACCAGGCACTTTTGACGCTACTCGATTAGCTCCATCGGATATCAGCGCCAGCTGCGGTAAATGGAGCACTACAATCTGTCTTGTATAACTTGTTTGCTAACTGCCGCCTCACATCTGTGCCCTAACGTCCTTCGCTGGTAATCCCGAAAGATTAGCTTAATTATTTCGAGCGCGTTAAGTTTTATTATTGTTTTCAGTCTCATAAGCTACGACTCTGTGTGTTACCAAAACATGCGTTTTTTTTTTTCGTTTTTTATCATTATTATTTTAGTCACACTATTGTGGAAAAGTTCGCGATACATTCGGTTAGCCGAGAACTAAAATAGAAAGGATTTTGTAATTCTTGTTTCAGAAATTTTCGTCCTTCGAATTCGCAATAAAAATACATTATTATTTATGAAAATACAAATGAAATAACGGAAATAGGACAATGGCAAGCAAATAAGACAGAACTAGGCGCTATTCCTACATACTACTTCAGAAGATTCACCATTTACCTACAACTCTGTAGTAAACTACAATGCCTTATAGACCGAGATCTTATCACTTATTCGATGTTCGCTCAAAGGTGTGCAAGTCTTCAAATAGCGATTTAAATCCTGACAGCGGCTCTTGGTTTCCGTTACAAGCCTGTACACTCAATGGACCCTGACCGTGCACTGTGCTTCGTGCAGATCTACGGGCGCAGTGCGCAGCGTCGCAAGTACAACAACCGACTCCAGGAGGACGACCTGGAGAAGACGGGTACACCCACCAAGGACTGGGAGAGCAAGCTGGCCGCATCGTACGAGAACTTCGCCGCCGACTCCGTCTACGACACCGACGACGCCCACCAGGAGATCGTTGACGACCGCTACAAGGTATCCGCAAGTTTCAAAGCCTAAAGGGGTCGTCCCGGCGCCTATCAAAATGGCTGTCATGTGGGTGATCACCCTGGAACAGCAGAACGCGATCAGCGGCCAGTTTTGGAATGCTCAAGTGATCCAAATTTTGTCAGATATGAGCATCATTAAACCTTAGCAATATTGTTTCATCTAAGAGAAACGTTTACAACAATCTTTATGCTGAAGTCTATCACCCAAGAACTATAGGAACCCGACAACATGCAGCAATGTCCATGGACGGCCGTAGGACATGTTTTGGCTGATATTTGTACAGTTTTGTGATTCGTTAATGATATCAGGAGGATCGACCGGCAGGCCAGTCAGCGCCATAGCCAGCCGGCAACAGCCTGACGGCGCCAGCACAGTGGGAGCCCACGGTTACCCTGTCCCGTTGTAACTTGGCAAAGGGTGAACGATTAGCCCCACATTGCGTGCCGACGGCTTCGCATGGCAATGCACACATATTGAAGCATGACGCAGCGAAAAGCCTGATACTTCTTCGCAGTAAAAACGCACTCCGCTGATACGTAGTTACGTTCCGATTGGCCCGCCAGGGCCGTAGCTTCCGCCGTACTGGCATGTTATGCGATCACAACTTGCTGGTCTACCCAGTATTTCTTGCTTCAGACACTAGGCTAAGCGGCGCCACCGTAGTAATAGCTCACGTTCGAAAAATGCAGCCGCCACTCCCAGGCATGCCCAATGTTTCTTGCTTCAGTCGCTAGACGGCGCCAAACCAAACAGCATCGCCGTGGCGTTATCAGCGAGTGATCGCATGCAGCTTTGTGCGCACACACTAACTCTCGCTGATGACGCCGCATTTCTCCGTGATACTGCTCTGACTGTCCCGCCAGTCGACGCTCCCGTGGAATCATTTAAAAATTGCGGATAAGCCCCCGGTATCCGAGAAACGTGTTAAGGTAGAGATCTGGCCATCTTATCGAGATTATATGGTTCTTCGGTTCTCATGCAGTTTTAGTAAGCCTTGTCAACCATCCGTACAAAAAAAGCAGTAAATTGGATGAATGCACATTTCAGGGACAGAAATATGATATACTACAGCCTTGCAAGCGTGACGGAAAGATAGTTTACAAGCGTTAATACCTCCATATACCATTTCATGTAAATATGTCTTCAGTCAAAATTAGGTTGTTACACTGTCTGGCTGACGGCCCTCTCTGAAACTCTGTGCTCGTACTTAAACGCCATGGTTCGAACTCTGCCACCTGATCGCATGATCTAGGTAAAGTCCATTTTTGTGGTGACCACTTGAAGCTATCACGCGCCGCTGAACCTAATGTATTAAGGTGCCCAGGAAATGAACAGGTGCAAGCATTTGATGTGTCCATTCCCAACAGGACCAGCCCGTGCGATAGATAATGAATGTCAGTCAGAATTATATAGCAATTTGGATACACACTATTGTATGATAAAGACGGTTATTTCACGTGGGGTCGGTTACGAGCATAAAAAAGATAAGCAGATAATTATTGGAAATAAACAGTAGACGATATGTTTGTAGAAGGAAAATACTGATATGCAAGATTAAGTCTCCAATGCCAACTCAGTTAAAATCTAGTTCAAGTACATTGCAAGCTGAGAAAAGAAAATAGTGTGCATAGTTTTATGTACTTACGTATTAGGAAGTATCAGTGGCGTCAATAGGGTCAGCGGCGCCCAAGCCAGTGGCCCGCCGCGACCCCCCCCCCCCCCCCCTTTCCAGTGACGCCACTGGGGTGTATTGCAATTTTTTTTATAAAGAATGTGAGTGGTTTTGTTTTTAAAATGGTGACAGGCATTGGATGGCTATAAATGCAGTAATATTCATACATTTTAGAACAAATGTCACAGTAAGTGTCATACTCAGAGGTTGGGCTCATGCTTCGTCCGCTCTTGAAAGCGAGTGCCATTGGTGCCACAGGGTGGCACGAACGAAAGTGGTGGGTGTAAAACGAACCGGAAAAAGTGATGCCTGCACGTAGAGGGCTCAAAGTTTCATCAAATGTGTATTTTAGTAGTGCATTTTACCTTGTGAAAATTAAAGTCATAGCTTTAAACTTCGCTATTTTTTGCCGCCCGTGAAAAATGACTTCACTGTCATTTCCAGTGGCGGGCTCGGGTACGGCAGAGTTGCCCGAGAGCCTAAGAGCCTAAGGCCCCTGCCGGGCTTGTGGCGCCATCTTCCGACAGGCGCAACAAGCAAACAGCAATCTGCTTTCGACCCACAGCTTGTGTTTATCGGAAAAGGGTGCATTCAAACTTCGGTCCTCTGTGTTGTCTGCATTAGAGCCGCCGTCGAAACTGTCAAAGAGGTTATAATTTATCATAAAAACTAAACTATGTTTGGAAATTTCACCAGCAAAAGACGGCTCCTAAAATAATTTTCGATAATTCAGAGTTCAGTTTATTATACCTCAAAGGCATTTCAGATGAAATGCATTACGTAAGGGCAGATCAAATGACATATACAGATAGCAGAAGAGTGACGACAAGGTAAATAATAGGAAAACGCAAAACGGAAAAGCTTGCTCTCCATTTAGTTTAATCCAATCAAAACCTTAAAAAATATATATAGCATTAGGGTTTGTTCAGTTTTGGAGTCAAGTTGGCGGCCACTAGAAAAGCGACGAAATGTGATATAGTTAATTAACTATTAAGTTCCTTTATTTTCATTTATAAGGGCATAAAGTTTTTGGGTAACTGACACTCGGCCTCAATATAATCTAACCGTTTCGTAAAATGTTCACTAAAAAAAAAGAAAAGCGCAGTGGGCGTTATGGGGTGAGAAATGTTACCGCTGTACACGGCTACAAACCATAAGTATGCCCGCAAAGAACGCCAATGATGTGGATTTCTCCGCCCTTCGTCGGCTCCGTAAGCGAAGCTGGCGGCCATAGCGCCGCTCCTTGCTCGCATAGTTTCGGTTGGAAGCCGCGTGAAGGGGTGACACTTCTCGCCGCCTAGCGCCCACTACGAAATGTTCAATAGAACATTTCAGCACAGCTTGACTATATTGAAGTCAAGTGTCAGTTCTTCGAATATGTTACGCCCCACACATAAGAATTTAGAAAATTAATCGAGACATTTCAGTTAATCTGCTAACCAATGAACCTTTCTCGACTCTTCTAGTGGCCCCCATGGCCGCCAGCTTAACCCCAGGACTAAAAAAAAAAAAAATTTTTTTAGTTTATTCGGACAGGCTAGTAAAAAAAAGTGCCCTGTATACATTAAACATTCAACAGTTTGGATGATCATCATGATTACCGAGGACAAGGGATGATGATGCCACTGTGGCGTCGCACGCATTGTTTCACACCACGTGAAAAAGCCTTCACGCATCTCGCGCATGAGCCTAAAACGGAAAGTAACCACTGCCTACGTGCCACCTTAGTAGCTCTATCAGGGCTTAAAGTCTGAGGTGGTCTTCGGTAGGGGTGTCGCGAATTTTTGTCGAACCGGATTTTTAGGTCGAACTTTCGGGGTTTGACTGGGTCGAACCGGTTCGACGAACCTTCGAAACGTTTCACCAGATTCGACCGGTTCGACTTTGCGGACAGTGTGGCCAGACCTTGATGCACGTATGTCTAGGTTTGGAGAATTTATTTTTGTGCAAAGAGTTATTTTATTTTATGAACAGTTGCAATTAAAAGAAACCAATTTTAGTCACTGAAGACGTTAATAACTTAATTGTTTTGTACTGTATTAACTGAAATAACCAATCAGCGGTGCCCTTAATTCATCCCTTAGCCATTACCGTCCAATCCGAAGCCAACTGTCCAGCCTGTCGCGCATGCGCACACGAGTCGAACCTCAATACAAGGTTCGTCGAAATTCCGCAAAAGGTTAGAAAAAGTCGAACCTGGTCGAACTCGAACCTCGGCCGGTTCGCGACACCCCTAGTCTCGGGGGTCTCAGACCCCCACTGATTTTAACGGATGGTTTGAGACCCTCCTTCACAGCCCCAGCATTAGTGTAATCAACATCATATCTTGCAATAAAATAGCTTGTTTTCAGGGATGTGACATTTGGGGATTGGTAATTTGAGGGTTGCAGGTAAGCGTGGGGAGACTTTAAGCACTCTCCAAGGTTAAGTATATACCAGTTTACTGATTCCTAGTTGGTGGGTTCGAACTACACGTGAGCACAAACGGATCATCACGAGTTTGAAATTTGGCAGTAGGAATGTCAGTGGGCAACAAAGAATGAGACGGCATGAAACGATGTAAGAGGATTACTGTGTTTTGTTTTTATTTTTGTTATAATGGAAATTGAGTGGGCATAATCTTCTCTGGGAGCACTTCTCTCTATGCACGGTGGTGTGCGGCAAAGAAGCAACAACACAGGAGTTCCTTCATGCTCCCATTTGATTGATTGATTGTGCTGGGGTTGAAATCTGCTGTTGTGGCTAAAGCTTCTTTTTCTTTATTTTTTTTCTGAAAAAAGTCATTGCGCGAGCATATTGATAGTTTAGCAGTGGTGTACAATGGCTTGGATCGATGAATGCTTGTCAATTTGTTTATTACATATGCTGTATCATGCATTATATATCCTTAAAATAGTGGATTTTAAGGATAGTGTCCCATCTTTTTTGTGCTACTCTTTTACCATGTCTTTATCCTTGAATGTTGATGTTTGACTAATAAATCCTGTTCATTCATTTTGCCTTTCACGCAGGCTTGGTAGGATATAAGGTAACATGTTTTCTGCCCATATATGTGCATGCTTGCATCTAGTGGTAGCATATCTATTCAAGTAAGCCAAAATGTACCTAGTCTGAAAGGAGACAATTCAGCATAAAATCCAGAGAGCCATCAACTTAGATTCTAACTTAAGTGCAAGCAAGTGCAAGCTCTGCTCACTGCCAAATCTGTGATCATGAAGGAAGCACATGTGACTGTGAGCTAGCCCTTTGCATGCGCTGTACAGGATTGTTCATATGGGGTAATCAGGTTCCTAAAACAAATCAGCCATCTCTCTGGGAAAATTTGTTCTTGAAACTAGATACTACTAGTATATGAAAGGAGGGGGCCACAACAGGAGAATAGCCAAGAAAGATTGAGCCTCCCCCTCCCTCTCCGAAAAATTCCTGGCTTTGCCACTGGGCCTTCCATACTGTTTGACATATGTCTTACACAGTCCTGAACTAAAAATGTTGACAAGAAAACTATTTAGAGCCCTAAAAGAAGTCTATCTAATATGGTTGTCCCCGATATTGTAGGCTAGAGAAAATAAAAAATCCTTGTCTGTTCCAAAAAAATCGCGAAATTTGGAAAAGTAAATTTATACATATTTATGCTGTGTATTCATACTTGTTTCTCTTACACGTCTCAATGCAGCGTGCAGCAGCCTTTGAAGAAAGCCTCCAAATTCAGCGAGCAGCTGTCATTGAGAAGCAGCTTGAAATTCAGCGTGCAGCAGCCATTGAGGAGCAGCTTGAAATTCAGCGTGCAGCAGCCATTGAAGAGAGGCTCAGGGCACAGGACACGTGGAGAGCCAAGTGGGGTGTCCTGACGAACAAGAAACCACTCCACGCACGAGACACCATGTTCTGAGTAGACAGGGACATCACTTACACCGAGCTGTGGCACCACCCACTTACTCTGCCTTAATACTCGACCCCAGGGACCCACTCAGTCGGCTCACTCAAGCACTCCTGTTTTGGGATTTGAGGCCCCTGCACCACAACTTTGGCCCGAGTCTTTTAAAACCGCAGTCTATGGCTCCAACTACCGCCACCAGGATTTGTTGGATCAAAGTGTAGGTTCGTCAGAAGCCCACCAGCAGGAGCAATGTCCAGGAGCCCCTCCCTCTGGGGGCCCTCGAACACGAAGTGGCACCCTCGGCAAAGGAGACACTTGTCACAGCTTTGCCATGTACATTTTTTGAACGGGCATGATGTGAGTTACAATCAGGGGCATGTTGACCAACCTTACCTCCCCTCCCCCCCCCCCCCCACGCTTGTTGACTCAGCTGGAGGAACGATCATGTATTTAATTTTTCACCTGTTGGATAGAATGCTTGAATCACTTGTGGTTTGTCCATCCAGTTACACACAACTGTCATGAAGTTTTTGTACAGACATAACTGTAGACTGGAAATATGTTGCTGAGATCTCAAGGCAGGAAGGTGCTACTACCGCCATCAACAAAGGCGTTGGATGTGGTTCCACCACGCTGAGACTTGCACCTGGAGGACTGTTTCCTGTTAGTTCATTGTTCACAAATGTAGTTACTTAAAACTAAAATATTAAATGTAAAATCTTTTTCTTTTTTTTTTTAATTAGAGAGCTTGGCAGTTTACTGAAACTAGGATTTTCATCCTCTCGATACATCCGACATGTATAGAAAATGTCCTATTTTCTTATTAACCAAAATACAGCCCATAAAGCCTTCTCTGGAAAGATATTTTTGACAATATACAAATATGTTGAACCTGTTCATTCTGCTAGAGACGTAAGATGAGCATAATAGTTTTCTGCCTGGGAGTGCACAGTAATGCTCTCACTAGGTAGACATTCAGTACCTACATCAAACTCCATTACTAAACCAGTTAGCACTCTCTGCACCACACTAAAAACCGTGAATGAATAATTGGCCTTCATGATATCTGATTATCGATCAAGTATCAAAATTCAGCAGAAATAAATCTTCAGTTGAATAACAAAAGTATGTTGACTTAGCATCTTTTTAAGAAAGGTGAGATTACTAAACAAGAAACAAACAAAAAAGTTGAATGTGAACATGTTGGTTTTCAGTAACTTGTCACAGAAAGTATAAAGAAAAAGGACAGACCAGGACGGACATCTGACTGTCAACATATATTAGATGTCCTTGTCCGTCCTTTTTGTTTATACTTTCTGCAACAAGTTAGACAAAAAAGTTGCACTAATCCTGAATATTTCATTAAACTTGCTTTATCAGTGCAGACTTATGTTAAACAATTATGAAGTATGGCAGTGACTTATTGGTGCCAGATGATAGAACCATTAGAATTACATATACAAATTTAGCTTCCCTGACCACCTAACAGAAAAGGGATAGTATTTGTATCACATAACAAAATGTCTTGGGAGGTGCAACTACCTAGATCTTTTTGCTATGGAGAAAACAATTGTATTTGACAGCATGAGCTGAAATGTACTTATGTTTAAATTAGTAAGTTTTAGTTTGGTTGTTTAAAAACAATTGTGTGAGAAACAGCAGAATTTTTTTCTTCATTGTCAGATCTAGGCTGAAACAGATTAAATATATGTGATAACTCAAACTATTTCTTGACATAATATGCAAAATCAATGTATCTCAATGGTACAATCTCTTTAAACTTTTCTGTAAGTAATCCTTGATTTTTGCTAGTCAAGACTTGTCATGTATGTATACTTGGTTTTGTTTGAAATATTACAGGAATGTATCAGTGAGACATAACTGCCATAAAAATATTTTGGTTGTTTGTGGTTACTTGATGTAGCGCATATACAACATTCATTCCTTTGCAACTTAATCTGTTGTAGCATGCACTGCTGCAGTTAGCACTTTGGTGGTCGTCATTTCTGAGGTTGGTGCTACAAATGGAAATTCATAATGCACCAAGAATAAATTACAATGAAATGTGATTGTCAGTAATGATGTGAACTTCAGGTTACATTAATACTCAGTCGGATTACTGAGAAATAATAACACTATATGCATTACAAAACATTGAGGATCATTTCGAGACTCCTTTGGACTAAATATTGGGTGCAAGATTGAATCATACAATTTCTAGTTGCCACCTCTGGTGATTCAAATTCTGATGCTGCATTAACTACTGCCGCACGGTGCACGACATAGTACCTAAACATCACATCGGCTCTGTTACACAATGTACTCGGACAAATATATTGTGAACCTCAACCCTTATAATTAATAGTGGTGCTGTGTATGAGCGAATTCCGCTACACTAGTAGTCTTGATGCAGCCTTTCAAATTTTACAGAAAATAAATTTATGATTTTATATCTTGGCTACCTATGTCACACACTGCACTTCGTCGAATTGCAATGTTACGGCCCCACAAAACTACACGTTTTGTACTATGTCTGTTGATACTAGTATGCAGAGGCTCAGCAGCCTCTTACTTTGATCATAAATTAACCGACCAACATACTAACTGACCAGAGAGAGCTTACCCTAGACTTTGCATGCTGAAAGAGACTACCATACAATACCGAGCAAGTGCCCACCCAAAAGAAAAAAGCTACTTAAAAAAAAAAAAAAAAACTGGGGGATGGGTGTTTTTTAGGTTTAAGTGTAAAAATGCAGAAGGCACACTTAATAAGGTTTGGCTTCACTTCTCTCTACTGGCGTGCTCGTAGAAGTGGCAAACACGAAGGAGCAATCTGATGCTGGTTCGATTTACCTGCACCGGTGCAGAAAAGTGCAGGACAGTGTACTTCCGGTGGTATGTCAGTACACATACCGAAACTACATGGCCGTAAACTTTTCTGCTCCGGTGCCAGGGGTGCAGGTAAACAAACAAGCCTATGGTTAGCTAGGTGGGCTCAAAAGTGGGGGGTGGGTGCATGATACCCTGCTTATTCTTCAAATGCTTCATACGTAGCGGGAGGGCGCTTATTATGACGTGGACGCATGCTTGGTATTTAGCGGTATATCTTAAAGTGAAAAGTAAATAGCAAGTGCAATACAGTTGTCTTTTTTTTTTTTACTGCACACCCACGTAAATTGGGAAATTTCCGCAAGTATTTTGATGTAACAGACTCTGCTTTCGAAACAGAAAATACTGCAACTATTTCATGTACATCATAGACTAGTTCAACTGTAAAAATCTGGTTTATGGGCGTGTTGCCTCAATAAATCAACATTGATATACTGAATGAATGCGAACAGCATACAAGAGGCTTCATATCGCAGCTAAATATATACACATAATGAATATAACATTCATGCCTAACTGCATGCATTAGGAAGTCCACGCATCATATATCACTTGGATGTTTTGTGTGTCGTAGTTGTTTATCTGCAATCTAACTTTACAGCTGCTGTTTTATTGTCTTGGAAGTCAAATGCATCCTTAGCTGATCAAATTTGTGGGCAAGGAGAATGTGGTCGCCATATGGGTGACCAATGGTAAGTCTTGCAGGTGCTGCTTTGTAGAACACATATTTCACCTCCAATACTATTTTTATAAACATTGTTCTGAAATTTTCTTGATTGTAGCTGTTCGCTGGATGTCCCACACAATTGCAGAAAAACCAGCTTAGTTAACTTTCTGCAAAGTGTAAGGAATTACCTACATAAAAATGTAATGGGCTTTGTGTGTCCATGGTGTTTGCACTAGTGCACCATTAGCACCTTTGGTATGACCTTTGGTATGTGTATGACTGTTGCTCAAACTAAAAGGATGATATATTCTGAAACAACAAAAACTGTGACTGTTACTTGGCAAGATAGTGCAGATTGGGTATGTGACCATATCACAAATATTCCTGAGTGTGAAGTTGTGTGCTTGATGCAAAGCCACTGAGAAAAAATTGGCCAGGTTTGTCTTTGTATTTCACATGCCTAACACTGAAAGCAAATGCATACTACTTACATAGCTGCTTCTCTGTCACAAGAGCCCAAGAAACTAGATCTAACCATGGCACCCAACTTTGCTAGCACCTTGCTGCTTTGAACTCTGCTCCTCACAACTTTGCAGGCAACTTTCGTGTTTTCTGCTTGTAATATGCTCTAGTCTTGGAAAACTTTGGCCCTCTTAAAGAGCTGAGGAAGTGCTGCTCTGCCTGTGTTTTGTACCACATGCTAACATTTTCTCAAATATAACACACTTCTAACAACTGTGTGTGTATGGGGATCCTTTCTTTCTTCTCAATATTCTAATAAACACTTCATTTTCACGGAAATTTCATTGCTTCAGTCTTCAACACAATATTGCAGAGGAAAGCCACAAAAGGTATGATCACTCGCTCTTTGTGCAACTCAAGATTGTTTCACCTAATGTGCATGCACCTTGGTTAGGTTAATGATTCAGTTTCTTGAACCTCTGCACTTATCTGCACAATCAATATGTGGCTCACCTTTCCGGAGCACCAGGACAAAACAGGATGTAAGAGCAGTGCCAAAATACCAGACAGGGTAGTATGAATCTATATTTGGTGGTAGAATGTGCCTAAAAGCTTATTTGCCAATAATTATATAGTATGCTGATGTTAACTAGCCTTCTAGCTTAGGGCACTTTTATCAGCAATGGTCATACAAGTGCCCAGCACTGTATGTCCATTACCGATTTTAACGGTCTGCCTGAATGCATTTCATGAAGGCTCAATTAAATGACGTACTGTCAGCACAATTCTTTTTCCTTCCTTTTTTTTTTATATGTTTACTTCAATTTCTACCCCTGCTAGTTTCAAGATGAACGAGTGTCGTACCGGTGTTCAATCAAGTATCACTTCTGTGTGACACAAGTTAGAGAACCCAAACTAGAGGTCGGCACGGGCACAGGCCAGCTCGAAGGCTGGGTTCAAACTGGGCACGGGCCTTGCCTTCAAGTATACAAAACAAGCCAAGCCAGCCACTTTTTTTTTTTTTTTTTTTTTTTGCAGCATAGTTTTTGGAAGTTTGTTTGAGGCATTGGTAGGGCACAATGGAGAAGACCCAAATGCTGAAAGCATGTGTGTTTGCTTATGTTTGTATGGTTCGGTGCGATTGCATCAAATGCTATTCCAGAGCACCAGCAGTGCGGCATTCACTTTTGTCGCTGACACCGCTGCCGTCCTAGTCGCTTGTTCCCATCAACACGCATATATACATACATACATAGAGTACACCCTCGCAGGAGTAAACCATCTGTATGTATGAGAGTGTGCACCCACAATATGGGTGAAGAGGTTCTCATTGACTACCGCAAGAGACAGAAATATTTTTTTTTTGGTAATACAGTGTTAGCGGGCAATTTAGAACTTTGTCTGTCTTTGGTTTGAACTTGTCGCGACACTTCTTTTCCTTTTCCAGTTTAGCACCTGGTTTTGTTCACTGATGCTTGCCATTTTTATTTTTCCATCCTTTTCTATATGTGGATTTAATTGCAAAAAAAATCGGGGAGATTTTTTTTTAACAATCTATTTAGGCTTGCAAATCCAATAATCCAATAAGAATTACAAAAAGAAGAAAGGGATACTTACAGCATTGACTTTTGGGTATCGTAGTCACCATATGAAGCAGTGGCAAGCGAGCTGCCATGCCACGCAATTTCTGAGCTATTCATACTGTGCAAAAATAGAGTGGGCCTCGGCGGGCCTGCGCAAGTTTAGTGTTGGGCCGGGCCGGCTCTCGGAAATTAATAGCAGGCCCGGGCCTAAGGGACAGCAGGTCAGGCTGGGCCAGGTTTCAAAATATCAGCCCGTGCAGACCTCTACCCCAGGCTGGCAGTTATAGCGAATCAGCTCAATCTCTCACCTACAGAGTGTAACAATGTCGCCACACGCCAAAGGCAGACTAAACTCAAGCTACATCTAAAGGGGTGTCCTAACAGGATACTTCAGAACGCACGAAGTGACACTTCTCCGCCATATAAAGTCTGGCAGTCTTCTGTTTAGACATTCACCACGCAAGTATCACGGCTTTTTTTCTTACCTCCTCTGCTTTTCTGTGACCTCGGTGCTTGTCAGACTTGACATCACACACCACCAGCCAATGGTTTGCCTGTCCATCTGTTCTGCCGCACCCTTGTATCCTTCCCTTTCCCGTTTTTGGGACTTCAACAGCAGCAGAAGCCTTGAGCGATTGACAGACAGCCAACAGGGCGTGCGAGTGGCCGTCCGGACCCACGGGATGAGCATGCTTGAAGCCTCCGTGAAGGACACCCTCCCCCACATCCACCAAGTAAAGAAATGTAGAATAAAAGGCAGCTTGCATTTTGGCAACCTTGTGCCACCATACATCTGATCAACCGGATAAAGGGCATCAGGGTCAGTGACAAAATGAGCGATCGTTTTAAAAGTTGAATTTGTTTTGGCAAAAAACTGCAATGACAGAAATTTAATAAAATCTGCCATGCCTTTTTCTTTAGGGCCCTTTACTTGAAATGGTTATTTTCTATGGCTCTTTTAAAATGTCCATTTACCTGGCCAAGCTTAATTTCATATCTAGTTTGACTAATTTTCATATGTCCATAGATATGGATGCCAGATAAGGCCCAAGCTATAGCCCGACATAGTTGCAATGCAAAATATTGCAAGAATTTATGCTGCTGAACCACCATGTGATCCTTCCTGTTTATGAAGGCGATATTTCCTTGCTCAATTGAAATTAATGCACCAACGAGAACATCTAATTATTCATAGAAAAGGGCAGCAGCTGGTAGAGTCGGCGGCAATGTGGCGGACGCACTCTAGTGCTAAACCCCGCATCAACTTGCGACGAACCACAGGGGTCGGGGTCACAAGTTGAAATGCCAATCCAAGGCCGTGCGAGTGTTACGTGACCATGGAGAGGGGGTGCAGTGATGTGCAGGAGAGCGCATCGCATGCTACATTCACAAAGCTGGATTGGCCGAGATAGCTCGTAGCATTCGCCGCAGTCGGATGTAAGGTGAAACAGAGTATAGCCGAAAGGGGTAAATCTGCATCGGGTACTCCAGCATGCTACGCTATGAAAACAACTGCCACATTGCTACAAGAGGAAATGTGGCAGTCCATTCCAACCCTTTTTCAACAGTTGGCAGGCCCAAGAATCTTTTCCAAGGCACCCAAATGGCAACAGACAAAGAAAGGGTAACCACACTGAACGGAATTGAACGGTTGCAACTCAACAAAACATTATTTTTTCCCTTTTTTTTTTTTTTCGTCGCCGCGCATTTGCTAGGTCTACCAGCACGCCCCTAGTGCACAAAACACATCAGCGGTTTTTAGTTCTAGCAATTGTCGACGTCCTTGTGATGCTTAGCACACAACCGAATATCAGCTCATGCAGAGGAGATTCAGGAATAATAACATAGCGGCGCTTTATTCAAGTAGTTCTCGGTGATATTGGCAAGATTTTGGAAGGATGTGGTTTCAGGACTTGATTGGTTCTCCTGTGCCATCAATCTTGTAACCTTGTTTTTCCAGTTCTGCTCTGAAGATAGCAAAAAAAGAAAAGAAAACGTTTTTGATATGCACGTAGTTTAGTAGCTCAATTGCACAGATGGAAGCAAAAAGCAACAACAAAGATATAGGCAAAGGGGGCAGTAAAGGTACGGAAATGGGTACGCGCTCACCTGAGTTGTTGGCTGAAGTCATCTTCGATGTTATCGTCGTCCCAGTTGTCTTCCCAGACATTTATATCCTGGGCGTCTTCTCCCTTCGCCGTCCATTCTGAAAAGGTTTACCGACGCTCAGTGCGACCAAGGAATCGCACCGAAAAGTCCATATAACTTCAAAGACCGGTGATGACAAAGCGTGACTGTGCAACAATCGTTCATTCAGGGGTCGCCAATACGCGAAAAAAAATCCGGAAAACCGAGGCCAGCGAGGTATACAATTGTACAATATAAAGGCTTCTTAAACTTTACCTTCGGCAGGAAACTCCTCAAATTCGTCATCTTCTTCCAAAAGCCCCAAATCTACTTTGCCTTTCGCGTTCGGGTCCGCCATTTTGAAAGCTTGAGTTAAAAATGTAAAGCATCATGGGAAGGCATATAACGCTGATGATGGTAATGGAAGACGAAAACGTTCACTGTACTATTTGTACAAACTATTTTTTCTGTGAAATATAATATAACTAAACTTGTTTTAGTACGTGATAATTAAATTTCAGTAATGTGTATGGTAAAACGACATGTATGTTCAAAACACCTGTTATCGTTTTGTAGCGCCAGTGCGAAATCGAAACTAAACTTTTGACATTTGTTTGTGTGCTTGTGTTGGCTCGTGTGCTCTGCGTGGATATCGGTTTTCGCCGTTTTCGTAGTTTTCGCCGGTGTTGTTGAAAGCGCATGGCATGAAATTCACGCAACCGTTTGCAAGTCGTCGCAGTCCCCGTTTCACGCTTTTGAATTGTAATGTTGCTACTGAAGACACCTAGATAGCAGTAAAGGTGTCAGTTTTATTTATGACACTCGCTCGACGGTTTCCGAAAGTATATTTTAGTCGTAGTTCAATTCGTCCACTATGGAAAGTCCTGTTTTATGGGTCGGATAACTTTTCCCTGAAAACTTTGACTTTGCTGAACGAAAACAGGTCTGTATAATCCCTGACATGTGTTCTTTACATTAAGGCGCTCTACTGAACGAGTTTACGTGTTTTGTCATCTAAACGCATAGTCTCGAACACGGACACCACCTTCGGTGTGAGGAAATTATATTTGAACTATTTGCATGACCTCTCACATTTTCGTAACGTAACTTCAGATATCTTATGAGCATGTTTTTTCTTATGAATCATTCCACTTCAGGCAGAAGAGAACATCCCATCCTCAAGTTGTAGGCAGCTTGGCTGTAGTGTGTCCAAAGGTATGCAAACGTTTTATGCGAGCGCCATTATTTTATTTGAGATACAGTGCGCGCGATTGAGTCCTCTCCCCTGGCCAAAGTGTAAGGTGATGTTCCCATGCATGCTGGCTTCCAGTTCAAGAGCCCCGTCCGCGACTATGCTGCCCAAGAAAGCCTCCCATTCAACGAGTGGCCCTGCAGTATCCCTCCTGACACATTCGACCTTGGTGTCGTGGTGTCCTTTGGGCACATGATTCCTGCTGCTGACATCGAAGCATGCAAATAGTATGTGATGAGGGGTACTTTCTGGTCACTTAGCAATACAGGTTCAGTTTAGACCTGTTAAAGAAATCTGCAGTCTTGCAGAAAAGAAAGCATTAGTGGAAAACTTTTAACTTTCCGCTTACATCACAGCACATTCCAACTTCAACTGAAATCATATCACAAATACAAAACTTGTACCTGATTTTCTGCCTTTAGCAAAACGGCCATACAGCCCCCTGGCCGACTATGGTTGTGCACGATACTCCCTTTCACAACTTGTGAGCCGCAGCCGACGCCAGGGACCATCCCAGCCATTCCAGCATTTTAAACGTGTTGTGTGACTGCATGCCCGGAGCCTCACTGTCCAGGTCACATGACACTCGTGCAGATCGGATTGGCTTCGATGTTTTGCATCGTCCAACGCTTTTCATCATAGGGTGACACTGAGTATAATGTACACTGCACTTGTAGCTGGCATTGCTCCATTTAAATTTGGGAAATGTTATAGGCTGCTCAAGTGTGGCCACCAGAGAAAAATTTTGAAAGGTCCCTGCGGGGGAGTTCGACGTTGGATTATCCTTTCAGCGGGATGATCAATGTCCACCCAAGCCTCCTGCCGCGTTGGAGGGGTGCGGCGCCCCTCGTTCACACGCTGCTGGCCGGGGACACCACATCTGGAGTCTCGGTGATAACGGTCGCACCCAAGCGGTGAGGAGCAGTCTTGATTTTTACATTGGAGAGTTTCAGTAGATCTTTCCAGTGGCTCCGACAACGGCAGTTGGTGCTCCGCCTACACCTTCGTGCGTGTATCGAATCCTTGTCGTTACCGGAGCTATCGGAAAAATCTACTAAAACCCTCTATGGCTGGTGGATCTGCAATGTGTTGCCAACACTGGTTTGCAACTTGAACCACATGCCTTGTTATCCCAGTTTTTCAGTTATGCGTGCCGGCCGCCTGACTGCACTTGCTTTTTTGCTGCATGTTGCACAAGACGTGCACTTCATCTATTTCGCTCTATGTGGGTTTACAACGTTGTAGCATTGCTGTAAAGGTGTTTTTCCAACTCTTTTGCTGTGGAGCTTCAAAAGGGAGTAAAATGGGTAAATTAGTAGTGGCTGTGTGGAGGTGAGCAGTATAAACGAAGCCGTCGCTTGATGGAGCTGCCAAGCAGTTCGATCACTGAGCCTCGTGCTCTAAAAACTCTGTGCTTTCGTTCGCCTTAATTAACTGGTTTTGTCATTTTTGGTGCTGTATTAAGGCCCGTTCACACTCTTGCGACCGACTTCGACCGAGAGAGACCAGACCGGTTTTTAAGCCTTTTGCGACTTCTTAGGACTGGATGCGGTGCAGCGGAGCTGGTCTTAAGAGATTGCAAGAGGCTTAAAAACCGGTCTGGTCTCTCTCGGTCGAAGTCGGTTGCAAGAGTGTGAACGGGCCTTTAGGACTGCTACAGCTGCGCGTAACCTGATGGATTCTCAACATAGCGGGAAGATTTAGTCGTCAGATAATACCTTACGTTGACTGTATCTCCGAAGGTGTCGTAAGATAAATTCGCATCTCCAGCTCGTTGCTCGCCCTCCCGCAGCAGAAACGGGAAACGCTCTAGTGAGGATCCTGGTCAGCAGGTACGGCGGAACTGCACGCGATCATGGCTCGCGAAATGTCATTTCTGAACTCAAACAACACTCTTCACTGTCCCAGCATAGTGCTGCAGCCGGCATGGGATTTTACCTTACTATAGTCGGATGCAACTTGAGAACAATCTTTTAGCTCCACCCACAAGCGCATTGCTCCCATCTAAAGTGCCTCCGCCGTCGAGAAAGTAGTTCGTTAGCAAAGTTGCTTTTTCTTCCTTCAGGAAACGTGTCTTAAACTACTACAATATTTATTTAATTCATTCAGGACATTTAAATAAGTTAGAATATGTTTTTGTCAACGAAATAGCTGTTTAGTAAAGAAAGAAAATTGTGTCCAATGTACCGTCTTCCCTATTCATTTTCTGTCCAATATACTGTCTAACATACCGTCTTCCAGCGACTGATAAGCACGGCAATCTCAGCTCACCCCGCGGAAACCAGAGCGAATTGAAGCAGCGGTGCCGGTACTATGTTGAGTAGCAACGTGGGGCAGAGGCTACAGAAATCCTTTGAAGCAGACGACGTCCGGCGTAGCTTCTCACCTCTCAGCAGTGCTAAGCCTCGCGCCCACTTCGAAATTTTCGTTGGCGATAGCGTCGCTGGATTCTCACGTTGTCGCGCAAAAACTGCTCCAAACACAAGCTGATACCATTAAGATTTCGTGGCGTAACCTCTGGCACGTAAAACACGGTGCAAAAAAGCAGAATAATTGTCACGAGAAACTAGCGTCGCGTTGCTAAAACCAGCAGCCATGTTGAGCTTTTTTTTTTTTTTCTAAAGGATCGTGATTGGTCCACGGAATCATGACGTCATGAAAACGATTGGCTGGCGTTTCTCGGCGTAGGATTACATTTCCCTCTGAGAGGCATTTCCGGTTTTTTCTTAGCTTGCAACCGACTATAGAGAGTTATAGCATTGCGTATAGAAGCAAATGCAAGCGCAGTGCGTTTGCGTTGCCTGCCTCACGTTGTGCGTGCGCCTCATTCCTTTGAGCCAATCCAAGACCGCAGTATTGGGCTCTGCACACGCACTAACGAAAACACACAGCGCTTGCGTTCGCTTGTATACGCAATACTAAAACTTTATTTAACTTTTTTTATTTTGGGGATTTTGGCAGCGACTTTGTAACTCTTGCAAATTGTCAAAAGTCGCGACTTTGATAGCAAAATATGCTTTACCCACAATTAATGTAATTTTACATGAATTTCTCATATTAGCGAGAATGTTTTGATTGATTTTAGACTTTTTATGTTATAACTTGGCAATTAAAAATGCTGCATTTGGCACGAGTGATGATAATTAGCACACTTATGATTGTCATACTTGTTTGCGCGCATTTGAAATTAGATCATAAGCAACAAATTATGTTAGAGCTTGAAAAACTCTATTAAAATATTTTAATTTTAATAATAAATATAAATATTAATACAAATCACGGCAATGTATGCCCCCAGTTAACGCCACAATCACAAAATATGCCATTAACCATGATAGTATTTCCAGAAAGATATCATTTTTTGTTTTTCTTTTTAGCATATAAAAAACTGACATCGTTATCAAGATAGAGAAGCAGTCAAACACTGGACCTATGTGTCACGCGTTGCTATTCGCAACTCCAGCGCGCCGCTTGCCCTCCCGCGGACGAGCGGAGAACTAGAAGAACGGGGATGGCAGCGGCGGTGGCGGCGCGGAAAAGGTGGCAGGGGCTGTCGGCCTTGATGCGTGAAGCCGTTGTAACGAAAAAAGTGAGCGCGTTAAAATAGAAATTCTTGTATTCCACCTCGCAACAGCGTTGCACAAAGGACCGGGTTGTCTAATTTCATTAGGGACTTCTCGTATATCGCATACGCTGCGAATTGCTGGTCTTATGCAAGGTCGCCAACTCTATCTATGCTCAACGTGATGGCAAACGCTCCCGCTAATAATGTAGAGCTCTAGCGTTCGGTCTATGAAAAGTATTCTTTGCCCTAAGTAGGAGAAAATTGGTCGCGCAACGATATGTCGAGCAATACACGTCTGGAATGGGTTTGCGTTTTAAGGTCTTAGGGACATGTCCATTTATTCCAAGCACTTTTAAAAGATAGAATATGCGTAATTGCTTTCTGGTAATTACAAAATAAATAAAGAAATGTTCGAAGCATTTTAAGTGCCTCTGTGTTAGCAAGCCGTTCGTGACGAGAGCTTAGAACGGGCAGTTTTGGCGAGAGGGTCAACAACGTTGCAAATAACACAATACAAAAAGAAGAAAAAAGTATGGTATATGCTCTTCCAAAAATATGCATTTTGGTAGAGCAATGAATTAAACACCTAAACACGCCGATTAGTGTAATAGGCAGTTTTAGTATAGCGTTACCGCTGGCTACCGTTGGCTTCCATGAGCAAGGCAACGCTCCTGGCACGCAATGAAAATTGTGCTTCAAAGGCGCAGCGCGAGCCTCCGGTTGTAATGCTACACCGCACGGTAGCCTGCAGGAACAAACTTCCTATCAATAACCATAAAGCAGTTTGATCACATGTTGCAATACACTAAAACCAAGACAGTCAGCAGCGAGCTGCGAGCCTGTGACACGAAGGCATCAATATACTGTGAACGCTGCTCTTCCGAAGCTTGACGGTCACCTTGCGCGACTCACTTTTTAGAGCACTAATGGCCAGGCAAGGCGCAAATACGACATCTTCATCACCCTCAAAAATATTCTGCCACAAACAGTGACATGGCCAGTACGTAAAACGCGCACGCCCATTTAAAAGCTTCTCAAGTCGAGGTTTCTGCGACTTTTAAATATCAGCATGCTCATTTTGCTAACACGCATCAACATCTCCGTCACCTGTAATATGATCCTGCCCTAACCACTTTGCGTTTGCAGATAAATAAATAATTTTTAGCGCGCTAAACAGCGTCAGCAAGCAGGCGCACGGGAAACCCTGAAGAATCTATCCCCGTCTCTTTCGCCATCTTGGAACTACCGCCCCGCCACCCATAGGGCGTTGGAGTTGCGAATAAAAAAACACACACATTTCAGCTGTCTGACTCAGATTCCGTCTTTGGGTTACCGTGTTTATTTTCAGGATAAAAAGGTGACCTGCGCTCATAAAATCCTAGCTTCCTGATATTACCAGAAATCATTTGTGTCGCTCAGTGAAGCCAGCACACTAGACAGGCTCAGCAGCGGCGGCACATATCTCCGAACCTCACTGTAACCGCCATTTTGGAAAACAAGTGGCACCACCTATAGTTAGTTGGAGTCGCAAATACCGCAATCTCACCCTTGTTTTATTGACACCTTAGAAATGCGGCAGTCTAATAAAACCGATTTTCACTCTTAAGTTTTTGCATTCTATTTACAGTTTCGACACGGGAAAGATTGTTGCGCAGCAAGAAGTTTCTGTTCCACCTCGAGTTCACCTGGCTGCCTTCACTGACATAATGGCTGACATTGGTGCTAGCATGGTATGTACTTGAGTAATTAATCCTGGAATTATGTGTGAGGGCCAGTTCCTGCTAACTGCAATGTCTTCCTTCTTTATTTGTTTTGGTTTCAAACCTCCGACTGAGGCTTCCTGAGTACCGGATCTGCTCACAAAAGCATTCAGAAGTTTCTTGCAGAGCATAAATCAACCATGGATCACAGAACATTGAAACCTGACAGGAAGGCAGCCTCAGTGGTGCAGGTGGAATGCCAAAATTTCAGGTCATGACGGTGCCTGAACTGGAAGATAGAAGGCCTTTCCTGCAGGTTTTAGTCACAAAGAAGTGTCCTTCGTCAGTAGCTGACGTAGGCCGGCTATCTGATGTCGCAGCTCATAGGTAACACCAACTTTGAGTTCTTCGACACCTTCACGTTGCTGTGCAGGTGAAAAACTGCTAGTGTCATCTCGAATCACAGTGTGAATTAGTCGGCTTATGTCTGCTACTGGAGGGCGATGGCCCTTCATCGATATCTTGTAGGAATTGCTTTTAACTTTGAATTCAGGTAACAGACTCTGCTAAAACTTTGCACCCTGCCCTCACCACTAGGTCTACCTTTGCTGCAATGCATGGTTCATTATTCCGGTACAAAAAAAAAGACAATGTTTTTTTTTTTTTTCAGATTTTGTATATTTGTTTTACCAACAATTTTATATTTTATTCCCGAATCTTAAAGTGTCGCGCATAAAATCTTTCAATTCCCAAGTTGCTTCCGGGAAATGTTAAATGTGGATTGGTAAAAAATTAGCATGCTTTTTCCAAATTCGGGCATACTATCCTTCGTTTCACCTTAACCCCTTGCCTTCTAATAACGAGTGTCACTCGTGCCGCCATTTACGGACCATAAAACCCGACCACGAGTGTGACTCGTGTTTCGGTTTCAGAGCTTGTTTTGTGAGCTCTGCGGCAGATGGCAGCACTACCCCTGTTGCTCCTGTTTACCTTGGGTTCTTTTCTTGTTTGCTTTGCCTTTTGACAGAGAGAGGGCGCTCCATTGACAAAAAATAAGCGCGCTATTGTAAGCAAGCGCGCCAAAAACATGTCTTCGGCGCGGAGGTCTGCTTTGGCGGACGAAGGTATACAAAGACTTCTTTTTGAAAGTGATGAATGCGCCAGTATTTCTGACGACGAATCCTGCTGCCTTTCCGATTACTCGGAATCCGATGAGAGTTCAAAGGACAGTGAGAAAAGTGTTGAAAATGATGCGAATCCTGGAAGCATTTCATCGACTTCGGCGTCTGCACGTCAGTGGAACTGGGAGAAGAGGGACAACCAGCCTTCTCAGTTCACCTTTGTAGAAACCCCAGGTGTGTCAGCAAGGGTTCAACGCAGTCTTGGTGAGAAGACAAGCGCCTTGTCGACCTTTTCCGTGTTTGCAAGTCATGATTTTTGGGCGTCTGTCTCTGCTGAGACAAATCGCTACGCCGAACAAGAGATGGGCGACGAGGATCGTCCCAAGAAATGCTATGAGGAGCAATGATTTGACACCACTCCGGATGAGATAAAGGCATACTTTGCCTTGTGCATCATTATGACGCAAGTGAAAAAACACAGTCAAAATGAACTGGTCCAAGAGGTCCATAGTGGAGACCCCAATTTTCAGCAAAACGATGTCCTATGTGAGGTTTCTGCTAATCTCTCGATTTCTATCAGTCTGTGAAGAACTACTGAAGAAGAGGAGACGACCAGAAGTCCTGGTATAGAGCACGAGACTACGCCTGAAAGCCAAGGAAGCGTTTTTCTTTATTTTGACGCAAATTGCTTGATTTAAATAAAGCTTTCTGTACGATCTTTAAAGAAAAAAAATGAGTAGGCAAGGGGTTAAGATAATGCTGTAGCAAAGATTATAAAAGTGAACTTCTTATTCAGGGATGCACTTGGCTGTACAAGCTCATACACAGCAGAGGCAGCTGTTAAAGAGGCACTGCAATGAAAAGAAACATTCTTTTAAGAGCATAGATGGGACAATATATTTATTATCATAATTTTTCTACGAGAAGAAAAAAATTTCGTCTAACTCCGTTAGATGAAATTTAGGTGGAGGTCACGGCCCACTCTAAGCCCCACCCACAAATTAGAGGCCAGATTCACGAAGAGGCACTTAGGTTACGACAACTTAGCTAAGAAGTTTGTAAGTTAAGAACATCGTAAGAAGAGGAGAAATCGTTATTCACAAACGCGTTGTTAAGTGAGAGGAGGAAAGCGACGTTCTTGCACGTAAAAACTAGAACTTCAGTGTCGTGCAAGCTTCTGCTCCCCGCGAGGGCGGACAGTTTTTATGGCGACGGCATCTTTGGCAACACGAACAGCCAATCGGAGAGCTCGGCATGGTTCTGAGCAGTTCGGAGCACATGGATTTTTTATCACAAACACAGACGGCCTTCTCGCCACTGCTTGTCTCGGCTTCATGTCCGTGCAGTGATATGTCAACACTTACACGATTTAAGCGCTCCCGAATGCTGAGGCCAGGATAACCGTCTTCATTGACTGCGTCAAACTTGATCGCTTTGAGGCGAACACAGCTGTCATCGTTGCTAAAAGAAGACGGTTTGTGCCAGTCGTTTGCAAAGCTGCATAGCTAGAAACAAATCGTTGTGGCATTTTTCGCGGCCTCGGACATGCAGGAGGGGGCTGACAGTAAAGACGATATGTTTGAACTACGAGAGTGTCAGCAAGAGCCACGTAAATACCTTTTCACGTTCAGAGTGGACATGCGTGTTTGATCAAAGTGCTGATTCGCTCTGTTGGAGCGCGCCTTGGTAAGCACTTCGGGACCAATCTTTTACAATTGCAACTCGATACTGACGCAAGCTTGGCAAAGAAAGGTTGGATTGACATCGCGTAACTTCCACGAACTGTAGCTAGACAGTGACGCACCGTCGTTTCAGGATAAGAATGGCATACTAATAACAAAATGTACATACCGTGTTGCGAAGGTAATCCATACGGCGTTTATTTGAGCTCTATATCGCAATAAACAAGGAGATAGAATCAATGCGAGTCTCTTTTCGACGGCAGCGTTGGTCATTGCTGCCTCGGAAAACAAGGAGATCAAAAGGGGAAAAGATTGACCTCTTAATCTAAAACTGAGTTCTGCGAACAAACTGTAATACAAGAATACGGCCATGGCCATAGACCATCGGAGCAACGCTGCATCGGGGCAGCGGTGTGCCTGCTAGGCCTATATTCTGCCGAGCCCGCTTGGTCGGTGGGATCGTTGCCGTTCTAGCTTTTCTCAATTGTTTGTGGATCCAGCGTTCATGTTCGTCGTGGTCAGTTTCGAGTATTTTTTTCTTGCTGCTTGAAGTCGGTATGCGCAAGAAGAACACGTGAAAAATAAATGTCTGTTGGTCGTTGCGACCAAGTAACTGAGCGACGCTGTCGGCCATGTTGATTTAATCGTAGAAAGTGTGTAAGACAGCTCCGGAGCTGTCGTAGGATTCCATCGTAACCTGTGCAAAAGTTATAATAATTTAGTTTCGTGAATTTGAATTTTTTCTTGCGTGTTGTCGTACACACAGTTTTGGCACATGACCTCACAGTTACGCCTACGGCGACACTGCTCGGAGGGAGGAGTAGCAGGCAGGATGAGGAAGTGAGGAGGAGGGGGGAAGGATATACCTTCCCCTCAGTACCCTTCCCCTCCTCCTCCCCAAGAGCTGCGCTTCAATTCGGTGTTGCAGGGAGTAGTAAGCGGCTTCCATTTTTTCTTTCGACTTCCGTATGGAGCTTCTCCCGCACACAACCCCTTGAGATAACCTGTGGGCCAACAGATCCCTGATCTGCAGGCTTAAAATTCAACTGACGCACTTCGCTGGGAGTGTCCTTCATAGCATAAGTTGTTTTTGAACGCAAGTCCCCCGATTTCCTCGAGTGAAGGAAAGGAGCGCGACGGGTCGATGCGCTACAGCGAACGCTGAATCGGCGCTTACTTCATTATTATTAGTAACTGGCTGCATTTTAGAGCAGCTAATAATTTCCTTTATCAAAAAAGTTCCAGGCAGCGGCAACATGGTTAGCCCGATAACAACCGGTTGTGATCTGATCAGCTGTATTTTAGGGGACAGGGTGGTCTCCGAATTTAGTCAGGTTGCATTCTCCTCAACCCTGACTTGTCGGGTGCTGTGCCTGTGTTCAGTGTTTCCTCCATCCCGCTAGTCATCCCGCTGAAAATAAAAGCCCAAAGAAACTAAGAATTTTCGTAAAGCCTGGATGCCTTTATGTGCATGCATCGTCCTGTATATTTAGTTCTCTCATGCCAGCAATGCATTTAGACGACGTTTGATCGGATTGATACTAGTTCGCAATAAGTAGGGAGTATGTTCACTTGAGTGCCTAAAGGCTTTTCGATGAACCGTTCAACCTGTTCAATGCTTGTTTCACAAGTTACGACACATAACCAGTAATACAGGTACTATACCGTCAACCCCCGGAATTTTCAAGCGACTTCCAGTCAGCTATTTGAGCGCCATCTCTTATTAGTTAGTGTTTGCTTAAAAACTTCTGATCTTTGCCGAACACTTCCTTTAATGGGAGGAGACAGATATTATTGGTGCTGTTTACAGATTTACAACATTGTTCTGCTAAGCTGAAACAAGAATTTTTGTCAGTAAAAGTTTGTTTCCTCATTGGTGATTTCTACAGCAGAGCTGTTAAGGGCTAGATTTTTCAGGATTGTGTCCCCCGCAAAGAAATGTTGACACAAAACTCTGGACAGCTACCGCCATCTATGAGCGACGACAGCAACCAGACAGCCGGTTTACCGGCCTGGCTCATAGATGGCGGCAACCTTTCCAGTCTTTCCACTCTGGTTTTCACCAGAGTGGAAAGGCTGAATTTCTCTAGGCATCGTCCTAGATGTCGTCCTTGAAGTCGTCCTAAACGTTGTCCTTAAGGTCGTCCTTGAGGTTGTCATCGAGGTCGTCCTTGAGGTCGTCCTAAACGCCGTCCCTGAGGTCGTCCTGGAAGTCGTCCTTGAGGTC